GGGGGGGGGGGTAAGGACACATATGTAATAACTTAATCAATAAAGAAATTTTAAGAAAAAGAAAGAACATGTACAGGTAAAAAATATTGATTGATTTGAGAGAGAGGAAGAGAGAGAGAGAAACATTGATTTGTTGTTCCACTTATTTATGTATTCATTGGTTGCTTCTTGTATATGCCCTGACTGGAGATTAAACCCGCATCCTTGGTGTATCAGGATGACACTCTAACCAAATGCCACATGGCCACATGTCCAAATTTTTTATTTCTCACACAACTCTATGAATTAGAATTGTCACTTAGGTTAGAAAACTGAGGCACAGTGACCTTCCTCAGATCACATTGATGGTAAGTTTTAAAATAGATTTTTTGATCATCAGAGCTACTGTTTCTTCCACCATCCTCACAGCTGCCCCTCCATTTGGAGTTGTTGTGGAGGCTGTGCTGTGAACTATCAAAATATTAGCAAAGGTATGCACTCTTGTCCATCACATAACAGCATTTTATTGGTCTAATTTTGCCAGCCTATTTACCTAATGTCATAGAATATGTTGGTTCAGTATAGACAAAGAGTGGTGTTTTAGGCTTCTTGCCTAATCAGGTTTAAATGTACTTTTAAAAATTCCTCCTTCAAAAACCAGTGTTGTACTTAATGGGAAAACACTGGAAGCATTCCTGCTAAAGTCAGGAGAAAGTAAAGGATGCCCACTATTGCTACTATTATTTAACTTATTTTATGGGTCAATGATTTTAAAATTTGTATTTTTACAAATATCTTCAGGTGAGTGTCATGATCAAGAAAATTTGGGAAATACTAATTTGAAACATGCTTTTCAAATCTACTTGCAGATTTTAAGTCTTGAACTATTGATCCCAGAATTACCCACTGAAAACTCTTTACCAGTCCAGTTTTGGGAAAGTAAAGTAAGTTTTCTGAACATTTAGTTTGATACAATTTCCTCTTTGGAAGCATCACGAATACTTTATACTGGTTGTTTCCTAGAAGACACTGTTTCTTGTTTCCATTTCTGGCCCAGCATTTCTATTATGTTTTCCTTGGAGGGTCCATCTTCCTTGAGTTGAGGCATAGCAAACCAAGTAAATCATTTAAAAAAATGGTTTCTTATTAAAAGATGGTCCCATTAAAATACCTTTGCTCTGTCTTGTTCCCTTTGTTCTTGAAACTCTTCAGATGGTAGGGTGTTTTTCACCTTAAATCTCATATTGATGACTCTGGGTATGCCAGCCTAGATATGATTTTCTTTAATAGGTCCAACTCCTTCTAGTGTTTTGGAGATATCTCATTCTCCAAGGTCATTATTTAGAAATGTCGCTGATGATAAAGGATATGGAAAAAATCAGAGGATATCTCACCGCCTGTCTGAGTTCCTCATTGCCTTAAACCAGAGCTTCAGGTTGTAAGGGTCAGTTCTTCTAAAGTACTTAGCCAGAGCCCTGACCGGTTTGGCTCAGTGGATAGAGCATCAGCCTGCGGACTCAGGGGTCCCAGGTTCAATTCTGGTCAAGGGCATGTACCTTGGTTGCAGGCACATCCCCAGTAGGGGGTGTGCAGGAGGCAGCTGATTGATGTTTCTAACTCTCTCTCCCTTCCTCTCTGTAAAAAAATCAATAAATTATATTTAAAAAAAGAAAGTACTTAGCCAGAGTCCAGGGTAGCCCTTCAGCCCTTCTTTTTGTACTGTCTTACATGTCTCTGGCAGTCATGTCCAGGCACAGGTCATAGCTGGCTATGTAGTCCATGGACAGAGCCTCCAGGACAGTGCAGCCATTCTTGCCCATCACTGTACTGTTTTAGCTCTTGTTGCCAGTTTTGATTATAGGCAGGCATGAGGATAGCCAACACTTGGGGTGTAGGTGGTGGATGGCTTCAGGAAGAGGACAGTCCTGATTGGCACTGTGCTCTCTACCTCTTTGGGGTGGACTGTGTAGATTCTTCCCACACTCATAATATTCTTCCCATAATATTCTTTCAGAACTGGGACAGCTCTTTGGAGGTTGCTATGGCTCTTACTCTAACATTTCATTTAAGTTTTAGCTAAGCCAATTAAGCAAAAGAAAGAATTTAGCATTATAAAAGTTGGAAAAAAAAGAGATAAAACCATCTTTATTCACAAATAATATAATTGTTTTATACCTGGAAACCAAGAATCAAATGAAGAAATACAACATACATTTAAGAAATTTCAGTTAGTGATCAAGATGAATAAATTCAGTAAAGTAGCATGATACAAAGCAAATATCCACAAATCAATTATATTTTTGGAAATATTTTTTATTGAGTTTACAGAGAAAGGAAGGAAGAGAGAAATAAAAAATCAATGAGAGGGGAATCCTCAATCAGCTGCCTCCTGCATGGGGATTGAGCCCCAACCCAGACATGTGCCCTGACTGGTAATCAAACCGGCAACCTCTTGGTGCATGGGTCAATGCTCAACCCCTGAGCCACACCAGCCGTGCAATCAGATGTATTTTTATACACCAATAATGACTTTCAGAAAGAGAAATTAAGAAAAAATCTTATTTACAATTGCATCAAAAAAGTACCTATGAATAAATTGAACCAAGGATGCAAAATATCTGTACTTGAAAATTATAAAGTACTGAAGAAAGAAATTGAAGAAGATGCAAATAAATGTAAGCATATACCATGCTCATGGATAGGAAGAATTAAAATTGTTAAAAGTCCATACTGCCCAAAGCAATCTATAGATTAAATGCTATTCCTATGAAAATACCAATGGTGTATTTTACAGAACTAAAAAAAAAATCCAAAAATTTATATGAAACCACAAAATAAAAACCACCTTAATAACCACAGCAATCTTAAGAAGGAACAAAATTGGAGGTATCATGCTACCTGATATGAAACTATACTACAAGGCCATAGTAATCAAAATAGCATAGAAACAGATATATAGATCAATGGAACTGTATAAAAAGCCCAGAAATAAACCCATTTCTATTGGCCAATTAATTTTGACAAATGGGTCAGGATTATACAATGGGGTAATGACAATCTATTCAATAAATGGTGTTAGTAAAATTGGACAGATACTTGCAAAAAATTAGACTAAATTCTTACACCATATATAAGAATAAACTCAAACGAATTAAAGACTTAAATATAAGACTTGATACCATAAAAATCCTAGAAGAAAACATAAGCAATAAAATCTTGGATATTTCTCTTAGTAATATTTTTTCTAATATATTTCCTGGGGCAAGGGAAACAAAATAAAAAATAAACAAATGGGACTACTTAAAACTAAAAAGTTTCTGCACAGCAAAGGAAATCATCAAGAAAATGAAAAGACAACCCACTGAATGGAAGAACATATTCATCAATGATACATATAAGGGGTTAATATCCAAAATTTATAAAAATAACTTATACAACTCAACACTAAAACAAACAATACAGTCTAAAAATGGGTAAAGGACCTAATTAGACACTTATCCAAAGAGGATGTACAGATGTCCTATAGACATATGAAAAGATTTTCAACCTGGGTATGTGCCCTGACCATGTATCAACCCCAAATTTTAGTGTAGGAGACAACTGAGCCACATTGGCTAAAGGTACCCTGAGATTATTTTCCTCACTTATCAATTGGCAAAAATCCAAAAATTTGATAACACACTCTGTTGATGAACCTAGAGAAAATAGGCACTCTCATACATTGTTGATGGACCTGCATATTGATACAACCCTTGTTATTAGTTTGATAGGTTAGCCATAATAAAGTGCCACAGATTGGGTAGCTTAAACAACAGAAATTTATTTTCTCACAATTATAGAGACTAGAAGTCTCAGATCAAGAAGCCAGTGGGATTGGTTTCTGCTGAGGCCTCTCTTCTTGACTTGTCAGTGGCCATCTTCTCTTCCCTGTATCTTCAAGTGGTCTTCCCTCTATGCATGTCTGTGTTCTAATCTCCTGTACTTATAAGGAAACCAGTTAGATTGGATTAGAGCCTACCCTAATTACTTAATTTCAACTAAATTACCTCTTTATAGACCATATCTCTAAATACAGTCACATTCTGAGTATCTAGGGGTTAGTACTTCAACACATGAGTTTTTGGGGACAAAATTCAACCCATAATAGCCATTATGGAGTGAAATTTAGAAAGAGCTATAAAAATTGCCAATATATACCCTTGATCAGATTTTGCTTCTGGAAATCTATCCTGCAGCTATACTTGTACAAATATAAAATGACATATAGCCAAGGATATTTATTTCAACCTTGTTTATAATAGCAAAAGTTTGGAAACAACCCATGGCCACCAATAGGGGACTATTTGAGTAAACTATGTATCACTAACACAGTGCAAAATTATGCAGTTGTAAAAAGAAATAAGCTCTCCATGCATAGCTAAAGAGAGATCACAATGACATGTGAAGTAAGAAAAGGCACAAAACAGTGTAATAGCATGCTACTTACATCTGAGAAATATATTCACATTTGCTTGTACAGTACCAGCATAAAGAAACACTGAAGGCTAAATAACGACAAAAAAGTGATAAAATTGATTACTGATGAGGTACAATGGGGGGCAGAAGTGGAAATGAGGCTTTTCTATATATTCCTTTTTATAATGTTTTCATTCTAAATTATGTAAATTCAAAAACAAGGACAACTATTATATATAAAGCTTCCTAGTTCAGCCATGAAATTTCTAGTACAATATGAGACTAACTCTGGTCCTTTTACTTTTGAGAATGACTTCTCCCTTTATTGAAGCTTTATCTAGGGTTTTGAAATTGTGCTCTTGTGAAATAAAGGAAACCCCCAGGGGTTGCAAATGCTTTCTCTCTTTCATTTTTTTTATTTTTCTTTGAAAAAAGGGAACTGAGTTTAAGAAGACTAGAGAGAGTCCAGTTGGATTTGTCGTTGACCAAATAGGAGATCACCCAGATGCTATTAATCACCAGCACTCGGCAGCACAAATGCCCTTGGGTGTGCATCACTTCAAGCAAACAGAAGTGTACCCTGCTGACGATGGGGTGCCTGAGTAGGGGTGTGGGTGGGGTTGGGGAACCCGAGCACACTGCACCCAGCTGAGAGTGAGATTCCTTGAGAAAGCCCCTTCCTGTCACAGCACCCACAGCACTCTGAGCCTGCTTGCAGCCCAACAGCCTCTCCGAGAATGCTACATTTAAAAGTGCAATTTTTGGATGATTCCCAGAAGATTTTTGTGGTTGATGTAAGTGGAAATTACATTGCTATTATTCCTTTATTATTCATTCAATAATGGTCATTTGTGGACAGCCCATTTGCCAGCAATGTTATGTCTTCATTAGGACTGAATGACGGAGGTCTGTGGTTTTTAGCTTTGGAAAAAGAAATCTGTATTTAATATTACAATGTAGCTCATGTTTTCCCATTAACTTTTCTTCTAGAACAGGTTCTCTTTTCTCAGGGGATGACAAAAGCAAGTTTTAAAGATATGCTAAATAGTTGTAAAAAGACAAAGAAGCAATAACTTAGTAGTCCTGCCCAAAGAGGTAGTATTGCTCATTGAAATAATTTGCCTATGAGTCTCACCCCATGAACATTTATGGGGAGAAAACTGTGGTTCTGAGGGAAAGGAGAAGGGGAAAGCTACCCTCCTTTTTTGAAGAAAATCTATGGGCTTTGGGGTCAGGGTAGAAGTATGCAGTTGTAATGAGACCTTGGGAAGTAATGACAAGTATGAAAGAGAAAAATAAGATAAGAGACTACTTAGTTTGATTTAGTGCTTGTAGTTCAGGGTTCTTAATATCATTCCTAGCTGCGAGATGATTGCATACAATTATACCTCATCTCTTCAAGAAAGAACAAATGTATTAAACGTATCATTTGGGACTCATCTTTCAATATAGTATGATATGTACATTTTGATGTCGGGTTTTATGTATGAGCATTTTGAAATCTATAATTTTATTGGAAGAAGAATGCAATTTGCTCTCATATTTACATTAGCTACTAACAAAGAACAAAGAGCTCATTTTCTTTTAAATTCATACAAAATGCTGGTTGTTTTCTTTTATACATAAACTAACAACTGCTGTTGGGTGTGCGGGTAACCCCTTTTTCAAATGAGTGTTTCATTTTGATTTGAATAATGTGCTTTGCGGGTGATGACTTCATGGCTTCAGATGCTGTTTTGCTGTCTCTTCCTTTCATTTTTATTTGCAAATGGCAGTTTAGTTCCACAAACCTGAATGATTTGTTTTTGTAGCAAATAGCTTCCATTAGAGGTATGAAGCATTTCCTATTTTTTTTCTTGGAACTATATTTAAGGAGTGGAAAATGTCTTTTGAGTAGTTTATCCATTTGCAGGCTGGTGGTGTATATTCATAGTGCTCCAGTACCTGAGTTAGTGAGCTGGGTATTCAAAAGACATTGCTTTAGGCTACACTTTTAATAGACATTTCAAGCAACTCAAAAAGGAATCTTTGACAAAAAGTGACAGAAGGGCTTTCTGAATGTGGAGTTCAAATTCAGATCCAATTAAATGTGGGAGGGGGTGAGTATAGTACCATAGCTTCACAAAATTTTCCTTCTGAGGAGCTGATTCCAGCAACTTGAATCCAGTATGATTTGGCTTCAAGTCAGATTGTTTCTTTCCAGCTGCAGCACATTGTGTTCCTTGGGAAGATAATGGGAGAGATTACCCAGCAATTCGGGTGTCACAGCATCTGATTCCTTTTGCTCTATAGAAGGCTACTTCTGTAAGTAGCAATCATGGTGTTACTGAGAGTGGCAATAGCATTAACTGTAGTCCCATGAGAAGCTTTCTCCTGAGAGGAAAGGAACCTTAAGTTAGCAGCCAATTATACAGCAGTATCTTCTCTTCTTTATTTTTTTTAAAGATATTTTTATTGATTTTTTACAGAGAAGAGGGGAGAGGGATAGAGAGTTAGAAACATCAATGAGAGAGAAACATCGATCAGCTGCCTCCTGCACACCCCCTACTGGGGATGTGCCCACAACCAAGGTACATGCCCTTGACCGGAATCGAACCTGGGACCTTTCAGTCTGTAGGCCGACGCTCTATCCACTGAGCCAAGCCGGTTAGGGCAGTATCTTCTCTTCTTAACAATAGACTGATGATGATGATGTCAGCAGTATTAGTGAGTAACAAATGAATAACACTTTAACATTTACAAAGTAATCTCAGATCCATTAGTTCGTTTGATCCTTCATTCTACCCTGTGAGTGAAGGTAGGAAAAAATTAATCTTTTCCCATTTTGCAAATAAAGAGATAGGTACTCAGGGAGCTTAAGTGGCTGTGTAGGATTACACAGCGTATAAATGCAAAGCAATCCAGAACTCACCCCACTATTCAATACACAGTTGTATCCAGAAGTCTCATCTGTCAATAGCCTTTTAGTCCTATAATGTTGCTCATGCACATTATTTATTTTCTGTTGCTCTCAAAAGGCAAATAATTTGGCATACAGTGAGTCTTTGGTGACTGGTGTGTTCTGAGGAGCAATGTGAGAAAGTGGTTCTTAAAGAGGTTAGGGAGAACATGGCATGAATCTTTTCACTGATTCAAAAGCTTAAAAAACAACCTAAACATTTCCTCTTTTATTAGTACTCATCTCTTAACCAGGATGAAGAAATGCTTGGAACCATAATGGAGAGAATCATTAGCAGCTAGGGAAGGTCACATGGAGGGGCTTTTTATACCAAAATTGACTGATATCTCAAGAGGCATGGATCAGTCTCAGGGAGAATTATTCTTCAAGATAAGATTTAAAAAACACAATTGGCTGCATAGGGAGAAATAATGGTGTCTTGGGCATTGGTGTTGATTTTACAGAAAGTACTGTAGTAGAAATATGAAAAGAACACATGATCAGATAGAATAATGTCTCTTGGGTAAGGCTAATTGGCATCCAGAATGCTTTATTCTACCCTCACTAGCAATTTCTTGGTGAATTTGATGGTGTCCAAGATCTGGCTCGGGCCTACAGAATCAGAAGCCTGATTTGTCAGCACTCCACAAGAACTGAAGTCTGAGACTGTTATTTAAAATCAGGGTGTCAGTGTCACCACTTACAGTGGGAATGGGGACACTAAGGTCCTCTCATCAGTTACATCAAATACCAAGTGTCAGAAAAGTCAGATTTAAAGGAATTAAACATCTGATTCTAATATTTGATGGCCTAATAATCATCCATCTCCACAAAGGCCCTATCATTCAGACCTTTTAGTCATTCATTCATTTCGTTATTTTGTTAACAAATTATTATCGAGATCATAATATGTTCCAGGCCCTGTTTTGGGCACATTATACTCTACCATATAAGTAGGTAAAGTTCTAGAGCAAGGCCACACTCTCGACTGGCAGTGCTGGCTTTTTGCTACCAACTATGGCTTCAGTGATTCATTTTCTCCTCATTGCATGATTGAAAACCTCCCTTTGTTATTGACCTATTTTAACTTGTTAATGCCTTAAATTAGATTACTTGGAAGAGTGGTTGGCCACAGACACATTCTGATTTTTTGAAGCTTCTTTGAGTATCTATGTACAGAGGCACTGTGTGCTAATTTTACAGATGAACTCTGAGAATATTTTTCAACCTTTTCTTTTCTGATTTTCCAAAAGTATTTGGGAAATGCAGGGTAGATATGGAACTTCAAAATTGCTGAAATGTGCCTACTAGACTGTAATCCAATGAAAAAATGTATTTAGTAAAAACCTCATTTTATTTTTCAAGCTCTCATATTGAAGGAACTTGATTTTTGTTAAATATCAACATCATATCTAGTATGGCACTAATCATGGACTTCATATACTTAGATAATCAAGGTGGGCTCTCTAGAATGATGATGGGAGTGGGTAAGCAGAAGGAGAAATGGAATAAGGTAATGCTTTAAATAATAATTGCAGATTTTAGCCCTGGCTGGTGTGGCTCAGTTGCTTGGGCATAGTCCCATGCACTGAGAGGTCGCCAGTTCATTTTCCTGTTAGGGTACATCCCCAGGCTGTGGCTTGATCCCCACTATGGGTCATGCAGGAGGTGTGATGATTCTTGATGTTTCTCTCTCATCAATATTTCTCTCCTTAAAAAAATCAATAAAATAAATTTTAAAAATAATTGCAGATTTAAATGTAAATTCAGTTTTGTCTCTTTATTATGGAGATTGGAATTTTCTTGACTAAAAGAAACGGAGGAAAGATCAAATCTAAGGCATTCTCAGCTCTTAGAAATAGTAGAGGTCAGGTTTCTAGCTTGACTATGATTCTTCCTAATATGCACACATACCAGTAACAGTAATGAATGTCCTTGATGGATGACCTTTTTTTCTAAAGCCTGGACTGTTTGCTTATCTCGAGTATATATGGAGAGTTTTCAAAACCAATAATCCCATCAATATATTTGACACAGTTATGTCTGCTATTCCCCCTGCCTGCGGCAGTGCTGTATTTGGAGAAGCATAGTGGAGGTGAAGAACAGCTTTGTTTGTGAATTTTCCCCAAACGTAATTCACTTTGATGGTTTATGGAGCCTAAAGTCAAAATAAGAGGTTCGAAACATCTCAAATCTTACCTTTACCTGATTGCTAAGTGACTGTATTGTTAATCACAGCAGGTACCTGGTGGCTTACTCAGGGAGAATATAGTGGGTCAGCTTACCTCATTTCTTTAAGAGCAAGCCCATCATAAAGGCCACCAGGCAACAATTTCTGAAAGAGGCAGAGGGCAGGCAGTACCAGGACTGAGAACTATTCAAGATAAATAACAAAGCAAAGAATGCCTACTGATTGTTTTTAATTGGTAGTGTGGTATTTACCCTCGGATGATAAGGGATCTTTTGTAATTTTGTCAGTGATGAAAAGATACCTCTCCCCTTCATAAGGAAAAGCTGTCCCAACTCCAATGAGATGGAATATTTTTGTGTAGTGGAATGTTCCTGGACTTGGGGCTACAAATACTGAGCCATTTTAGTGTTGTAACCTTGAACCAGTCACTTACTCTCTTAGCTTCCTGAGTTGTTGTGAGGGGAAATATAAATGATATAATGTATATTTAGAGTCTGATAATGTAGGATAAATTTGTACCACTTACAAGCTGTGTGGCCTTGGGCAAGTCACTTAGCATATCTGAGACTTAGTTTTGTCAACTCTAAAAACTTGGACCTTATGGGTGGTGGGCACACTGTGCAATATACAGATCTTGTAACATAGAACTCCACACCTGAACTTTA